CCGGGACTTGGTTTGTTAGATTCGGACTTGAAATTTTTACTCGGATATCCATGACAGGCAATAGTGTAATGAGCGCTCGAATATGGCATATGGGCGCCAGGAACCAACCCGAACTTTCCGCGTTTCGCGAAGATGATTCATCTTCCTTGCGCTGTGTACTCTTGACCACGAATTCCCTCTCACCCCGGGGCTCGTTTTTCGCAGTGCGGCCAGATCTCTTGGGAGAGATATACAACACGCTCTGCGACGATCTCTCGGCTGATATTACTTGTGAACGGGTAGCGAGCCATCTTGTCGATGTACCCCTTAATCAATGCTTTATCTTCGGGTCCAAGCGGCTGTTCCGCGTCAAAGTCATAACGTCCAGGCCTATTCGTCACCGGGAATTTCTCCAATTGTACTTACTAGGACCATTGCTTTCGCGTGGGCGACGTCCTCCTCAGGATTTTCCAAGAACTGTCTATAGAGTTGATAAGTACCCGTTCGGAAAAATGTGAAGAATAGGACACCAACCGCATCAAGCGACCTACCGTTAGTAGAAGTTCTAAGCTCTGTGGCCCTCCATGCTAGGGAAAACTTAGCCCTGTTACTTGATACTGGGTTGGGGCCTTCATTTATTATGGCAGCAGCTCATTTCGCTGCCTACTTATACCCTCAGAAACAAGGACCGTATAAAACAATAATCAAGCAAAATGTTCCAATACAATGGCGTCCATAGTTGTCATAGCAGTTGAAGTGGGTTCAGAGGAGAACAAAGGATGAGATCTAAGTGCAATTCAAAGATTGTTGGATCAATGGATATAGATCAAGTAGTGTTCTTGCTACCCGGAACAAAGATAAGGCTTGCCGAAGGAGAACATTACAACTAAGTGTGGCCACATTAGATTGTCGTCAATGTACTTAATTCTGAGCGGAAATTTGCACAAGCTACCCGAAATCTCTGTCAGGAACGGGTATTCACAGATATTAACAATTGAACCAGTGCCATCGGAATCTACCGATTCTTTCCCACGGTTCGAGCACTAGATTTCTATTACTTCGAGCAAGCTTCGAGTTTTTTTTTCTCTTTAGAGAGTGCTGGATTTCTGTGGCAGGAGCCCTTCGGAGTGTACGAGTATATTCACCAAAACTCCAGTCAGACTCCCACTTGCTGGATAAATGAAAAATGAATTAGATTTTCCCTCGGCGGTGCGGACCTTGTACTCACTGCATGTTCGTGACATTCATACCAGGGTTTCACCGAGCGAACGGGATTGGTGCCAAAATAGAGTTGCGAGATTGGCCCAGGGACGTTGATAGACGACGGCAAGAGACAGTAAGAGACACGGGAAGAATAGACTACAGGCATGGTTATCAGGCAGCCGACCGGTGCCGCCAGCAGCTCGGACGATATACGCAACGGAGCGAGCAAAGGAGGTTATATATTTACAGGACCGGATGCGGGATTTCCATTCGGGAGAGCGAATAGCGAACAGCGAGCAGAGGCGCCAGTGGCAGATGGCTGACGGGACTAGGACCACTTCATTCCGATCTCCATTGCAGGACTGGCATTTACTCCGGAAGTAATTCAGTGCTCAACTCCGCCCGCACTGATCCAGCATTGAAAATGAGTGATGCCTGCATAGACTATTGTTGTTCCTCCCCCAGCATTCCAAGGAGTACACTCTGGGCCGGTCTGAACGACCACACCCTCTCATACTCCTGTAGCGTCCAGTAGGCCTCCAGAAAACTTTCGACTGGGATTTCGTGCTCCGCCAATATCGTCATCGGGTTCAACTTGACCGGAAGGTCAACCTTAGCGTTAACTCTTTTAGGCTTGGATTCTATAACTTCGGAGCCAAGTCCCGCCATTTCTTCTTCCATGAGACTGGTAATTTGCTACAGAAGACTCGCATTAAGTTTTCTGCAAGCATTCGCCAGTCAATATGCAGGCATGAGCCGCTCGCGAAGCACGAACGGCGTATGATATACGCGGACAAGAACTCCTCAGAGTCGGTGCCTAGGCATAGGCTAATGCAACACGAAATGTCATTGATATCGATTAAGTTATTTATGGCCATGAGCTCAGTTCATTTCCAAGCTCGCTTGCAAGAGGGGATTTTGGCTCTTCCCGGGGAGCAACCGTAGCGTCCTCGAGCGACAACTTCAGCTCTAATATTATACTGGTCATGGGTCAGTGTGCAATCGGGTTCTGACAACGAGAAGACTTACCGAATCAAGCGATGGCTGAAACGCATTAAACAAATCAAGTCTTCGCGCTTGAGCCGAGGATTGAGTGTATACTTTTGCCAGGTGGTTTCGACTGCTTGTGTTTCAGGCTCCATTTCCTGTGAAGAATTGCCCCTCATGGACCAAACTACTTATACGGCCGGGAACAAAGGAGGACGAATACAATACTGGTTGCATAGAATCAGCTTATTGTTTCAGAAAACAACGCCTTCTACACATAGTGACAAGAGAGCCGGCAAAACCTTTTTGTCGGCTTAGATGCTTAATAAAAGGTGCAAAATGAGATAAGGCCTTCTAAATCACAAGTAAGAAGGCATTGCAAGTCCACTTGAGGACTGTGGCCACACTAGGCGTCGGGGTGAACAATTGCGATCGGCATCAGCCAGGTTTTCCCACGGTTCAAAACGATTCGACGCCAAACAAATAATGTGTCCACCGCAACCGTGCACCCACACAGTCGTTTCCACAGCAAACAAGAATATAACTTATTCGCTGCCGTCTCTATGCCACCCGTCCCTCCTAAGTGTTATACTTACGCAACGTTGTTCTTCTGAAATTCAATTGGCGAGGTGAAGTTGACAACGTCCGAAGTTTGGCTTGTTGTAATATTTTCCGAACTATCGGGGTCGTCATATGTAGAGCACTAATAACGCCCTGTGGGGACACCGAGCCCGCAAGTTTTAACTCCTAGTGGCATGTGCGCTTGGTCTGCCCCTCAGCAATCGACCGGCCCCGCCCCCTCGCGACGCACGGTATGGTTCCGTCGAAATTTGTGGATCATTCCTTGACTCCATCCTAGACGCTGAGATTCTATGTGAACGTATTAGCTGTTGGAAGAACACATGCCGAAATCCGGGAGGCGGAACCATAGGATGGCCATCGGTTAGGCGGATCGAGTTGAATCACCTGAGCTGCGGAAGCTTGAGCAGAAGCGGACGCGGTCGAGACGCGCCGTGTTGGCATACATTCGGTCGAATTAGCCATTTTAATACCATTATCGCTGTCCTTCAATGACGCAGATAGGCCGTATCCTGCATGTGTGTTCGGTGCGGCCAGGAGCACTCGACCGAGCAAGAATGGCAAATCAATGAAAACTTGAGCATTTGTTGGCGCGTTTGGCGTTCCATTGCCGCGTGGCTCGAGTTACGGCCTGGGGTTAGGCTAAGTAATCAGATCTTAGGGGAAAGAAGGAGGATCACACCAAGTCTAAAATCAGAGACAGGCGCGTCCGCGTCCGAGTTCAAGCCTCCTCTTAAAGTTGTGCCGGTCCAGGAAATTATGGTCAAGTCAACGGAGGACTTGTATTCCTGGTTCATCTGTGCGACATTCTCCGAATCGTAGAGCGCCGTTGTGGCCAAGCAAAGCAGGCGCAGAGGCCGCGACGAAAACCCGACGACCTCGGTGCGGGCTTAGTGCAACTTGGGAAGTTCGAGTCGGAGTGGATCGGGGCCAAGCTTTCAAGCTTAAAGGCTCGAGCTAGCGACAGTCAAACTCAGAAGACTGGAGGTACGAATGGAGCGTGCCTGTGGCCTGCGTTCAAGAGGTAGATGCCGGGTACCATACCGAGTTCGGATCAAGGTCCGGTTCCGGTTCAACCCCGAGTCGGCGACTCATTTGCATGCATGCCCAAAGGGACTGCAGTATCGAGTTCAGGATGTGTGTCTCCTGGATGGCGGGGAGTTACGATGATGAGCAGGGAACTGCCGTCGTTTCCCACTGGGTTTACCCGACCGTCCAGCCATGTTGTGCCGGGGAGACGCACACCTATCAAGACTCTCCGCCCCCTTTGGTAGTATGTTGTGCTTTGGGGCTTCTTGGGAGCTGTGTGTGGATAGCCACCCATGCATTAGTTATCTTGTTAGCACTCAGTAAACTGGTTGTTGGGACCGCGCCAGTATAATATATCCTCCTCCTCCAGACTCTCACCAAACCTTTGACTCGTCCAGCTCGATTCTTGCAATCTCGATACATCAATGGCTCGAAAGACTCTTCGTCCGAGCTCACCAGTGCAATATGCCAACCAAGCCCCGGGCCACCGTCGTGCCTGAATACCATCGACGCGGACAGGCTCTTATTACATGGACATACCCTATAATTTGTGTTACAGAGCATGCACCCGATGGCACAAGGTGTGCATCTGCTACGTGTAAGATATCGGTGCAAATTATGCAGAAGGGCTCTGTTCGATTCGGGGTCGGGTGATATGCTCATATTGTTCCCTTTTTCTCGTGTTCGCCTTTTCCTTCGTCTCTTGGGCGTGTTCTCAGGAGCGGACATTTCAATTCTGGTCATTACCTAGGAACAGAATTAAGAATACTTGCGCAGTGTGAGCATTTTTAGTTCAACCAAGTTCAACTTCAAATCCGAGTCTGATCGTGGTTCGAGATTTACTCAGAAGTGCACCAGGTAGTCCGAGATTGGGAGTGCAGAGCAAGCATCCGATGGCACAAGGTGTGCATCTGCATCTCTTAGCAGGTGTTCTAGAAGTTTATGCAGAAGGTACCCGTTCGATTCGGGGTCGGGTGATGGTCTTGTCACATTTTTTCAGTTTCCCTCATCGGTTTTTCTTTTGCTTTCACTGGGAACTCGTTTTCGCTGGAAAATCGACCCAAGCATTCTAATGTAATGGGGACGAGCGAAGACGCTACCCAGTGCTGATTTGTGGATTTGGGGTCCAGGCCGGAGGTGATTTGATTTTCAACTTCAAAGCTTCAAGGCCACTGGAGATCCCGGAAAGTGTGTTTAGTTTGAGATTGGGGGTGCAGAGAATCCACCCGATGGCACAAGGTGTGCATCTGTTACCCTTCACAAATATTGCTACGAGGTTTAGCAGAAGGGCCCCGTTCGATTCGGGGTCGGGTGATGTGATATCTTCGTTTGTTTTTTTCTTTTCTCCCCTTCTATGTCTCCCTGGCTTCGTTCCATCTGTGCTGCGGGTCCAGCTAAATGATATTTACTACCTCGGAACAATGTTAAACAGCCCTTCGATGTGTGGGTAGTTTACTCAGAGATTGGGTTCAAGCTTGAAATTTAATCAGTGCTACGAAATTTACTCAGAAGTACACCGGGTAGTTCGAGATTGGGAGTGCAGAGCAAGCACCTGATGGTACAAGGTGTGCATCTGCTGCGCTTGGGGAAGCTGTAGCTAAAGCACTTATGCAGAGGGTCCCCGTTCGATTCGGGGTCGGGTGATTTGCTTTTCGGTGACTTTTTTTTCCTCCTCTCCTTTTCCTCTCCTTTTCCCCCCTTCGTCTCTTGGCTTACTCTCAGACCATATGACATGCGAGGTGGAATTTAATTGTCGTATTCATTACCTGGGAAGGAGGTTGAGAATGCTTGAACAGTCCGAGCGTTGATATTATTCAGGTCAACCAAAGTTGACTTCAGCTTTGGAAGAAGCCAGCTTCAGATCTCGGAAGGTGTGTTGTACTTCGAGATTGGGGATGGAGGGTATGCATCTGATGGCACAAGGTGTGCATATGCTACGCTTGGGGAAGCTGTAGCTAAAGTACTTATGCAGAGGGTCCCCGTTCGATTCGGGGTTGGGTGGTTGTCCTTGACAAATCGTTTTTTTTTTTTCAGTTTCCCTCATCGGTTTTTGTTTTTGTTTCAGTGGGAACTCGCTTTCACTGGGGATTTAAACTCAGCGAGTCTAATATTTAGGACGAAGAGGCTCATACTGTGTCTGTGGAGTTCAAGTTGTGGGAGGTTGGTTTGATTTTAAGTTCAGCTTAGATTTCGGAAAGAGTGTTGTACTTTGAGATTGGGGGATGCAGAGGAAGCACCCGGTGGCACAAGGTGTGCATCTGCTATGCTTATGGAGTAGATAAGACATTTATGCAGAAGGGCTCCGTTCGATTCGGGGTCGGGTGGATTTCTTTTGGGGTTTCGCTTTTTTCTGAAATTCAACCTCGATTTTTTTTTTTTTCGTTACCTATGTAGGACATGAATTGGGCCTTTGGGGAGGTGTGCTTCTGCTATCCTTTAAAGAACTTTGGCACATTTAGCAGAGGGCCCCGTTCGATTCGGGGTCGGGTGGTCGAATCCTCTTTTTTTCGTTCTGGCTGATTGGATTTACAAAGAAATCATCCTCCTCCTCCTCCTATGAGACATGAGTTGGGGGGATGTAGACGGTGTACCCGATGGCACAAGGTGTGCGTCTGCGTCCCTTGACAAATGTTTCCATTAGGTTTAGCAGAAGGGCCCCGTTCGATTCGGGGTCGGGTGATACTGTGTATTGAATGTGAATCTTTTTTTGTGCGGCCTGAGGCTTTTTTTTTTCGTTGTTGGACTCGGAATTCTCAGTTCCGTTTGTTCGAGGTTTGTTAAATTTTCGCTTTGTTCGAGGTGTATTTTCACTGTGTTCGAGGGTTATTTTCACTCGTGGGTTACGGGGGAGTACGGAGCTGTGTATATACAGTATATTATGAATGATTTCGAGTAGGAGGATGGGGCGGTGAATGTAAATTGTCGAAGGAAGGAGGGAGCTGGATGGCGGTATGGTGGAGGATAAGACTCGGGATAAAGTTGAGAGTTGAGAGATAAGAGGGATTGCTGAGGGGATTGATTGTAATTGTATTTGTCGCGACGGAGGGGTGCGAGTTGAACTGCTCGTCGGACAGCGGAACATGTGTGCGGCGTAGCAACGAAGCGACAGCGACAGCTGCGTGGGGCGCCGGTGCTGCCTATGACGTCGAGAGAGTCGTTTAGGAGAGAAAGAGAATTAATGGAGGAATTAGGACGCCCGCGGGTAGAGTGGTCATGGGCGGTCAGTCTTATCAGCCTAATGATATAATAAATAGCTGGGCGCGTTACTTATAGATAGACGACTCCGAGATTTTACGGGGGATTCATATCAGCTCGGAGAGTCGCGCGTGGGAGTTGTGGAATTAAGGAGGGGGCTCAGTTGAGGGCATATATGTAACCGCTGGAGACATCAATTAATGAGGGCAGAGACAAGATGACGGTGGGTGGAGTCATTCGACTGAATCATGTGTAGATAGGTGTCAAGCAAGCAAGTGAACGGCTGAGCGCAAGAATCAGATACCACACAAGATGATAGGTCGGACGCGGACTTAGGTCTCAAGAACTTGGATTAACGAGCGCAGAGACGGAGGGAGCTCCAAGATGATATACGCAGACTACCGGGACCGAGGGATAAATATCACGGCAGCTGGCACCATAAATAAGAGTTTTAGCGAAGAGGGTTAGATGCTTCATTAGTGGCGTCGGGGACAGGACTGGATGCGGGATTTCCCCTCGGAAGACCGAACAGTGAACAGCGAGCAGGGCAGCGAGCAGGGTCGACGCTGGCAGATGGATGGATGATGAGGCTAGCGAATCCAGGGGTGCCCGACGAGGCCAGAGCGGTTGGAAGAGCAAGTGAAGAAGAACGAGAGGGCGGGAACCAGTCTAGTGGCCGGTGCATATCTCTCCCTTCCGCGACATATTGCTTGTTCGACGCGCAGATGAGTACCCCGCCAGCAGCAGCAACAACAGAACCAAGAAAGACACAGGATAAATGCATTGCAAGGGAATCTGCGGGACTTGTATGGGTAAAGCGAGGAGCAGGCGTCCGCCACGTGTGGCCTGGTCCTTAAACCGCGTTGCAACAGCAAGTCAACCGAACTTGGAATCCACTTGACGCCCCTTGCCTCGCTGCTTGCCTCCTGCCCTCATGGCGTCTACAGCCCGCGTCCGCCGCAAGCCCGCCCCCGTCGTCGACCCCGACGACGCCGCCTTCCTCGCCGCCGTCGCGGACGACGACGGCGAGCGCATCGCGGCGCTGCCCCCGCGCCATTCGTTCGCGCTGTACGCCGCCCCGCCGCTGGACCCCACGCCCCCCGCCTACTCGCCCGCCCCGTCCCCGTCCCCGACGTCGAGCGCACACCCGCACTACACCCGCCGCCGCGCGCAGTCGTCCGCCCCGCCGACGCCCGCGACACCGCCGCCGACGCCGACGCGCACGCGCCTCGCGCGCCTCCTCCTCCCGCACCACGCCCACCCGCCGCCGTCGCCCACCCGTGAGCGCGTGAGGAAGCACACGATCTCCGCGCCCGCGCCAGCTGCTTTCCCGCCTGGACTCCTCCCACCCGGCCTCGCTGCCCTCTCGCTCCCACCAGGGCGGCCCGTCGCGCTGCGCCCCCTCGAGCTCGATATCGAGGTGGAGGTGCCCCCGCTCGTGGAAGGGTGTAGCTCGGCCTCAAGCGCCTCGTCGCGCGCGTCGGGCGAGACGGACGCGACATCCCCGCCCATGTCCCCGTCCTCGCCCCGCGGGAAGCTCTTCAAGCCCGCACCCGCGCCTAAGACTGCCGCGGCGAAGACTGGCACCGCCAAACCCCTGCCCCTCCCCCGCTCGCGCCCCCCACGCGCGCCGCCCTCGCGCGCGCGGCACGCCTGCCGCTCGTCCAGCCCAGCGGCGTGCGCGTGCCGTTTGGCGTGCTGTTGGGCATGAGTGATGCCGCTCTTGCCTCTATGACGGGTGGCGGTATAGACGCCCACGCCGAAGCCGACGTCGACGCCGAGGCGGGCGGCGCGTGCGTTCGTGTAGGTGCAAGCGAGGAAGCTAACAAGCGCCGCCGCACGCTCGTCGTCTTCCTGCGCCACTTCTGGTGCCCGCTCTGCCAGGACTATGTGGTGGCGCTCGCAAGCGCCGTCAGGGCTGCGTGTGCAGGCGCCGAGGACTCCACGAGTCCTCAACAGGACCCGACTATGCCTATCACTACCTCTCGTACCTTGCCGTCTGTTCCTACTCCTACATCTACGTCCGGCGCCCCCTCCACCTCCACCTCGACTTCTACCCCGCCCTCTACCTCTGCCTCTGCTACCTCGCCCTCGCCCTCCATTCCCACTTCTACCCCCGCCGCCGCCGACCCTTCTGCCAGCGACCCCGCCGCCGACCCTCCTGCCAGCGACCCCGCCTCTCTGGTCGAACCCCGTCCGGAAACGCAGACGCAGGCAGAGACGCCGCGCTGCCCCGCGTGTGCCGCGCACGGGGGCGGGAGCGTCACGGCAGCGTACCTCGAGAGTCTGGCTGCCGGGTCTGCTGGGTCTGCGTCTGCGTCTGCGTCTGGGTCTGCGCTCGGGGACGAAGAAGAACACGGAGAGGATGCTGTGCCTGTACGTATCCTTTTCTACTTGGGAGGGCGGAGGCTGATTTCGCGCGTATCTAGGGCGCCGAACGAACACAAGCCGAACGAACACAAGACGAAGAACACGGAGAACACGAAGTAGGAAACGAAGAAGTAGGAGAAGAAGAAGAAGAGGAAGGAGAGGGAGATGATGAAGAAGAAGAACACGCCAAGTTCAAAGACTGGGCCCCGCGCGCGTGCGGCGCGTTTGGGTGCCCTGTTGCTGTGCGTACTTTTCTTTTTTTTTCTTTCTTTTCTTTTCTCCTCGGTTCTTTTCCTTTCTCCTCAGTTCTTTTCCTTTCTTCTCAGCACGGGGTGTATTGGTGCTGATGCTGATGCGTTTTTTTCTTTAGGACGCCTCGGCCTCTGCCTCCCCCTTCCCCTCCGACCCGGCGCCCCGCGATCGGGCTCCAGGTGTCGAAGCAGACGACCCCGCGTCTTCTATCTCTGCAGACCAAGACGCTCAACAAGACCCCGCCTCGCCCGCCCACACTGAGGACGAATACGCAGAAGAGGAGACGGAGACGCACCTCCTCCTGATCGCGCCGGGCGCACACACGCTCGCGGGGCGGTACCTCGCGTCGTTTGGGTTTCCTCCCCATCTTTTGGAGGGGGAGGATGGTGGGGCGAGGAGGGGGATGGATTTGGGGGATCCGTGGCCGCCTGCGGGTTCTCCTGCATCTCCTCTAAACGGGCCCACCCGCGACCAAGATGACAGTGCGGGCGAGCACCC